GAATTGATTTAGAAAAGGAAGTGATAATATATAAAAGCTATAGATACAACAAAGAAAGATAATATAACCCATTAATTGGAGTAACCTCTCATTATTCTCTACTAATCATCCATGTTGATCCATGCATGGCATGAGCAGAGACCAACTTATTTCTATGGTAGAACACAGTACTATTTAATCATTACAACATAGATTTAGTATTTAGTTTCTTCAATCACGAGTCTGACCGGCGGCACCATGTCCGGGATGACCGCCTTGTCCATGGCCGGGTTTATGGTGGTCTCCGCGGCCTGGTATACGGGGGAGGCTATGCTCGTCTCCACGTCCAGAATGATCACTGCGAAACCCAATTCCATTGGCATCTCCATGATCTGGGTGGCCACCAGGACCATGTCCGCCGTGATGGTCATGACCATGTCCGAAATGGCCGTGTCCATGGTCATGGCCGTGCTCGTGGAGGTCTGTAATTAGTTCCTCCGTCTCTGCCAATATAATTAGAAACCCACAACAACTAAGACGTTAATATATACATATATATAAAATTGAAGTTAAAGTGAAAAGAGCTCAATGGATAGGTCAGAGTTAGCGAGATTACGAGCTGCTGAGACGTGGGTGGAGAAGAGAAAGAAAGCAGCAAAAGCAAAGCCAAGAAAAACGAGAGCCTTTGAAGGAGGAGCACCCATGTTTGCTTATACACACAGCTATATTATTGATGCAGACGAGTTTTGTATATAATGTATAAGTATGTCTCCTATATATATATATATATATATACATATTGTGATATCTAGAGAGATTGAGATAAGGAGGTGTAGGGACATGAAGAATTAATTGTAGTCAAAATTTGAGTCTAATTGTGATAACCCAAAAGCATTATTTACAAATTATAATTATACTTAACTTTAAAAATTACTTATATTAAAATGAAAAACATTATAATAATATTAATTATAATCAATAATCAATAATCTTGTAATGATCTTATAAGTTTGTAATATTTTTTCGTATAACTTATATAAATTTTAACATGTCGATATATTATTTAATTACAAAAAACTGTTTTAAATTTTAATTTTGTAGGTTAGTATAAGTTTATACATGAGATATGTATAGTTGTTGAAAATTGAAAATGATACTTAGGAATTAAAGTAAAGATATGACATTAACCTACTATATTGTCTTCATATATAACGCAAAATATATTATATAGTTCTCAATAATACATGTATTTTTTATATTCAGTATAATACATATATTTTATATATTCAATGCATGATGCTCTCCTTTCAATGTCACCATTATTAGTCTGAAATTTAAAAAAAAAAAACATTATTAATTAGATATAATATAATATGGCCCCATGTTTATTGAATTTTCTTTTATTTATTTTTAATAAAAAATATATGCATTTATTGATTATGTAATATATATGCATTAATTATAATATTAATGCAAATCTCTTGAATTATTTGATTCAAGTTGATTTTGTATTATATTTTAATATGTTAATTATAATTACTGTTCACAAATTTCAAAATTAATGAGTGAATTATATTTTGTTCTCTAAATTCGTCCTCTAAAAATATTGAAGTTAATTTTTTTTTTTCAAATTGGAAAAATATTTTTTTTAATAAATTTATATAGACTTTACCTCTTATAATTTATTTTATAAGAAAGTCACATAAATGTATTCAAAAAAAAAATGTAAAGATTAGGAAATTAAATAGAAATAAATTTATAAATTAAATATGGAAGCGAAATAATAGAATTAGAATTTATATTTCTTACACAAATTAAACATGGAAGCGAAATAATAGAATTAAAGTTTACATTTCTTACACAATAATTTATAATACCTAATAAGATTACGAAAATATATATTCTTAAAGAATAAATGAAAATTAAAGAAATAAACGTAAAACAAATAGCTAAACATCATAGAACGACATTCACTAACTTTTGAAGGGAGTTCGGATGTTGAACTATTCACAACTCTCTTGTTGATCAGAGTATGGATCTTGGTCCTCTTGATCTAAAATAGTTAATGAAATGGTAAATTACACTATCTCAGTAAAAATATCACACTAATCATAAATACGAAAAACTGAAAGTTCGTAAAAGTCAGAAAAATAACCAATGCATCCCTTAATTTATGTAAATTTATTTACTATAAAGAAAGTCATTTATTCTATATTTATGTAATAAGTTTTTTTTTTTCAAAAATAATATATGAAAATCATATTCATACACTTTTT